TTACTTTGGAAAAGGTCATCTGATTTGAGACACTTCAAAGCCTGGACATTTTCAAAGTGATTTCTGGTCACCTTGTGTGAGAGGAACTATGTGGACATAGCTGGTGTCCTTGGGAACTAGTGGATGTTCAGTTTCAGAATAGACTAAAATACCTGCCCCTATTATCTCAACCACTACCTTTCCTGATTGGTCACTTTCTAGAAGCCATCCTCAAGTTGAGTATATATGTATAGTTTTAAACATCAGTTAGTTTCTAGATCAGAGGAAGGTTTGACCTTTTTCCGTTTTCAGGCCCTCTGGAAACTATCATGTATAGCTGTAGGGTCTGTCCTGTTTTTCATCTGTTGTAGAAAAAATATTAAATATTAAAGGCTGGAATGACTGTTGTAGAAAAAATATTAAGTATTAAAGGCTGGAATGACTAGGCAAAGGTAATGGACATGTTCATTATCATGAAGCAGGGTTTTTCAGTGTTCTGGTACAAATAGTTCTCAGCTGCAGTCAGTATCACAAAAGGCATCTAGGAGCATATTTTATTTGTATTAGTTATAGCAACCATATTTAGAGGTAGATATTTTCATGTTTAAAAAAAATGCTGAAGGTCTGAGAAGGTAGCTCAATTGGCAGAGTGTTTCCCTAATACAAATGAAGTCCTAGGTTTGATCTCACATAAACCAGGAATGGTGGAGGCAGGGTTATCATTGGCTATATAGAGAATCCAAGGCCATCCTGGGCTATGTAAGGGCCTATCTCAAAGGGAGGAATAAATTATGCTTGCAGTTTTGAAACACCAGGAAATTGATAATGGATATTTATCTAATGAGAGCACGATAGGCTACATAGTAAGTCCCTGTCTCAAGGAGAGGAAAGGAGGGGGGGGGAGGGAGGAAGAAAGAAAGGGAGAGGAGGGTGGATTATAATGGTTCCCAGGAACACCCAGTTTGAATCAGTGAAGAGCAAAACCTACCAAGCATGGTGAGGGTCATGAGGTGACTGTGGACATGACACTGGCAGCTAGAGCTCAGTGACTAACCCAGCTTCTCTCCAAACCCCGTGTTTTTGAGATCTTTAGAAGATATGCTAGTTGTGTGGTGGGTGCTTTATTTCGGTTCACCAGTCAACCACAGACAATTGCTTTTCCTGTGTTTTCAAGCTATTCAAACAAGGTAGATGGCTTTTTGTCTCCCTGCTGGTAATAAAGGAGCACTAATGTTCAAGTGGTTTAAGACTCTACTACTGTGATGAGATATTTGGGGCATTCTCTATACCGCAATGAAGGCTTCAGTAATGGCAACTCTCTTACTCTTTTAGATTATTGGTAACTACTAATAATCAAAGGGGCAGAGCTGCCTGACATCCTGACATTGAAAGTGTGTCCCGGAACTCAGGTGCTCACATAAATGCCCTTAAAGGCCTGCTTCTCTCTCACCTGCATACTTGTGTGTTTTCAGGAAATGGAGGAGAGAATGATAGTGCTATAATTTTGTAATATTTTCTTTATCTTTTCTCTGTGATTTTGTTTACTTAATTTATTTACTTTGGTTTTTTTGAGGCAGGGTTTTTCTGTGTAGCCTTGACTGTCCTATAACTCACTGTGTAGACAGTGCTGGGCTCGAATTCATAGAGATCCTTCTGCCTCTGCCTCCCAAGTGCTGGGATTAAAGGCGTGTGCCATCACTGCATAGCTTCTCTGTGTCATTTTGTTTTTTGTTTTTTATTTTTCTGGGAGACACATGTGCCATAGTATATATGTAGAGGTCAGAAGACAACCCAATGAGCAGCTCTCCCCTTCCATAATCTGGATACTGGAAATTGAACTCAGGGCATCAGGCTTGGTGGCAAAAACCCTTACCTCTGGTTCTTTTTTTTTTTTTTTCTCAATTTTTTATAGTTTTTTAAAAGGTATTTATTATGTACACAGTGTTCTGTCCAAGTGTATCCTGTAGGCCAGAAGAGGGCACCAGATCTCATTTCAGATGATTGTGAGCCATCATGTGGTTGCTGGGAATTGAACTCAGGACCTCTGGAACAGCAGCCAGTGCTCTTAAACTCTGAGCCATCACCCCGGCCCCTTTATTTTTATGTGTATGAGTGTTTGTCTGAACATATGTATGTATACTGCATGGGTACCTGCTGCCCATAGAGGCCAAAAGAGGGCTGGAGTTATAGAGGTTGTAAACTGCCACATGGGTTCTAGGAACTGAATCATGGTCCTCTGCAAGATTAGCAAGTGCTTTTAACACAAGCCATCTCTTCAAGCCTCATCACTGTCTTTCTAAAATAGAAGGATGGGGCTGTGAACTATTTGGAGTAAGTAACAGAGACCCAATTCCAGCAGACTTACACAAATGGGAAAGCCTTTAAGGAAAGCCTTTGCTGAGGTCCAGGGAACAATGGAAGACAGACATTCTCTCATTGTCTTTGAGCCAAGTTTCTCCTCAGGCTTGCTTTTGTCTTCCTCTCATCCAGCTTTGTCCATATGGTGAAAAACAACAAAACTCTACCTGAGTTTATTATTTTCTACTTTAGACATCCAAGCCTTGGTTCCTGCATGGGTCCAAGACTAGTTTTGCAAAGTGGTTAGTTCTTTGGTAACTATTTGCTCTGAGCCATGCAGTTTTCTCATGTCAAGGGAGGGCAGGTCCACTTGTAGCTTGTTACCCTCTGGACCCTGTGAGCCAAAATGATTTCAACCATTCCCAAACAGTGACCTTTAGATCCTCAGATAGGACAGGTACCACCTTTGAGGCTTCTGTGGCTTCCCTCCTAGTCCAGTTTCCGGGTTCCTCCAGTAGCCTTTAACTCTTCCTTAGACTCCAGGCCCGGCACAGATAACAGATCCTTCAGGCAGCAGGAAAGTCAGCTCTTTCACCCTTCTAGAAAGACTGTATGCAAGCAAGGGCTGCACCTCCTGCCCTCCAGGCTGGCACTCAGGGGATGAGCCAACTTCCGACAGCTGCTCCAATATCACCCCTCCTGGGTACCTCCAGTGGGTACCCCCTAGAAAGAGGAATGTGGGGCCTGAAGTGCTTGTCCTGCTACCTTGGGCTGCCCTAAGGAGATTCATCAGGCCCTATCTTTTAAGAGAGCAAGGAGACATTCTGGCCAGGTTCCCATTCACAAGTAACTGCCCAATCCTTTTGTTTTTAATATGAAAAGACAACTATACTCATATTCTAAAGAGTGCTTATACCGAAATTCAAATGTGACAGTTTAAGCAAGCATCGTTGACCTGCTTAAATTCAAGACCCCCCCTCCACACACACACACAGTAGATACAACTAGGTATTTTGTGGGATAGTGACAAAGAAAAAGAAGTCCATTACAAAAAGTGCGACCCAGTTGAGTGAACCCCATCTCAACGGGGCAAGTTTATCTAGGAGAATACCAACTGTCATACACATATCTGGGTGCATGTGATAGATCCTATGGAAATCCTATGGTGAGGATACAGATCCTAGCAAAGACAGAGGACACACAGACAGAGCTCCATCCAATATACTCAGAATAAGGTTTAGGTTCTTGTTTTTCACTAGATGATGTATATGAGAAATTTTCTGTACCATTGATTTAAAGTCTGTGTTAATACACATGTAAAATTTGTTGTTGAACCATGTCTCTGTTTCAGCTTTTTAAATATTAGAAAGTTGAGTCCATTAAAAAAATAGTACATAACCAGGTGGTGATGCCACACGCCTTTAGTTCCAGCGCTTGGGAAGCACAGGCAGGTGGATCTCAGTGAGTTTGAGGTCAGCCTGGTCTACAAATTGAGTTCCAGGACAGCCAAGGGGACTGTTACACGGAGAAACCCTGTCTCGAAAATCCAAAAATAAATAAATAAAAATAAAATAATTTTAAAATTTTATTTTTTTGAGACTACGTAGTACAAGCTGATCTTCTATTCATAATCTTCTTACTTTCTCCTCTAAATTGCTGGGACCACAGGCATGGGCTGCCACATCTGGCCCTCCATTGTCAGTCACGATTGATTGAACAAAAGAAATAGACTTTAAATTGTATTTTGATTGTGAAGAAAAGTTTGGAGTTAGTCTTTTTGTCAATTTCTTCAATAACAGCTTCAGTTTATATCATAAATTACATTGGACTCCTGATGTTTTAGTTTTTTGTTTTAAAGACAGGGTTTCTTTGTATAGCCCTGTCTGTCCTGGATCTCACTCTGTAGACCAGGCTGGCCTCAAACTCAGAGATTTGTCTGCCTCTGCCCCCCACCCCCAGTGCTGGGATTAAAAGCATATGCCAGCACCACCAGGCGGAGTACATTGTCTTTTAAAGATTTGAAAAACTATTTATTTATATGTATGTGTGTATGTATATGCCATGTGTGTTTGGATGCCCATGGATTCCAGAAGAGGATATCAGACTTCTGGAGTTGGAGTATAAGCAGTTAAGAATGCTTAACATGTGTGCTAGAGTTGAGCCTGGGTCGTCTGGAAGAACAGAGAATGCTTTTCTCTGCTGAGCCGTCTCTCCAGCTCACGAATCTTGATACTTTAGCATATATAGCGTTTATATAACAAAGGCTGATGTCCTATTTTATTTTAAATGTATTCCTGTAATTCTTTGCTTTAAAAAAAATCTCCTGGCAGATGAGAAGCAGTTGTTATTCTTTTCAGTTATGGACTCATAACATGCCAAGATTTTCTAGAGTAAAATAGACCCAAGAGAAGGAAGCCAGAGAGCTGACCAAATTATCCCCCTCCCCCACTACCCATTTCATGGGAAGCTGTCCATAGGTTGTTTCAGAGTTTTTTGCTATGTTAGATTATAGACCTGTTGGTCTGTGGGAAGGATCAGCACTTAGAATAAAGTGACTCAGCTCTTGTCTGGACATGTGCTTCTGGGTGAGAATGTAGGCCTTGGTTTCTGTGTCTGGAAGATGTCTGATCATATATAAAGGATGATTTTTGAGGAGTTTGTGATTATATATGTCCAGGCTGAAGGAGTGGATTGGCATGAAGATACTGTCTGTCTTGTTGCAGAGTTTTGGAAGTGCCAGCACAGTAACACTGCCTGAAACCCTGTTGTTTGTTTCAACCCTGGACGGAAGTTTGCATGCTGTCAGCAAGAGGACAGGCTCGATCAAGTGGACTTTAAAAGAAGGTAATTCTGATTGTCCTTGAGTGATACAGAAACTTGCTTAACTGTTGCCAAGCAAACGTATTCCAAAGAAAAATGGCTATATGCTGTCTAATAAAATAAGAAAGGAGAATGATCTAAAAAGAGGAAAAGGACTTCTGCCCAAAGGGTGACTCTACAGCCTCTCATGACTCTCCACTGAATGCAGCAGATGAAGAAACTATCGTATCTTTTATGCTTCATTGCTTCTGTCCAGACTCTGAAAAGCTCTAGGCTTTTCTATTAATAGCTCTGGCTGCTTTCTGAAGACCTTCTGCATTAAATTTGTTAAATTCTAATGATCAGAGTCTTGTAATCATAATTATAAGATTTCTTTTCAACCCTTTAAATTACTCACTTGTTTTTTATAGAACCTGAAATAACCATGGCCTGTAAGATTTGACATTCACCCAACTTAACCACATTATTGAGTTGTGGAAATGAAGCTTGTTTCTCATTGAACCTTTGTCTTGCTGTCATTCCCTTCTGGTGGCAGTCAGTGGTGGGGAGTTCTACAGCTGGAGAAGTCATCCTGCTTGATTTTCAAAGCAATCTTCCCACAAAGTCATGCCCTTCTCAGATTCGAGGATTTCAATGTCCTCTCTGTTGTCCTATCCATCATCAGTAAGTCTTCTTTGGTCTAATTCAGGTCTGACCGATGCGTTTCCTTTCATCACTTTTCCACAGCTTATTATTTTCATGGGCACAACATTAATTTTCTTTTTTTTTTTTTTTTTTTTTTTTTTTGGTTTTTCGAGACAGGGTTTCTCTGTGGCTTTGGAGGCTGTCCTGGAACTCGCTTGGTAGTCCAGGCTGGTCTCTAACTCACAGAGATCCACCTGCCTCTGCCTCCCGAGTGCTGGGATTAAAGGCGTGCGCCACCAACGCCCGGCCCTTAATTTTCTTTTGTTAAGCAGTCGTCCAGATGGAAAAATATTGTCATATTTCAGAAGGTCACACGTCATTTTGTCGGTACTTCGGCAAACCTGCTTCGAATCCATAACTAAGGGCAGCTTGAATACTAGGGTCATCCTGCCCCACCTGTTTGGGCCCTGCATGAGCAGCAAGAACTTTAAGGCACCCAAAGAACCAGCACTATTGTGGTGGTGGTGCACGCCTTTAGTCCCAGCAATCAGGAGGCAGAGGCAGGCGGATCTCTGTGAGTGAGTTGGAGACCAGCCTGGTCTACAAGAGCTAGTTCCAGGACAGCTTCCAAAACCACAGAGAAACCCTGTCTTGAAAAACCAAAAAAAAAACAACAAAAAAAAAAGGAGTGGCCAAAAGATGATTCTTAGTGCTGTCTTGTATTGTAGGCTCTGAGAACTCATATGTACAGTCTTATGAATTTTTTACATTTCAAAAATTAGAACAAGTCACAAAGGACTGGAAGAAATACTCTGACCATTGGATGTTGGGGCCTGTCCTTTCATTTTAGTATTTCAAGGCAAGATATCTTGGTCACTCTCTTCTTCCCCGGCTCATTTCACAGGTTGCCTTGGCTGTGTCCAGTACACCTGGGGCTTGTCTTGTCTGTTCCTTACTCAAACATCAATCAGTCTGTTCTTCCCTGTGCAGACAGATGAAAGTTTTTTTCTCTGTTTTTTTTTTCCATCCCATTTAATGTGTACTAAGAGAATCTCCTTGGTTCAATTCCCAACACCTACATGACATCTCACAACTGTAATTCCAGTTCTAGGGGGTCTGACACCCTCACCCAGACATGCAGGCAAAACACCAATGCACCTGAGATAAAAATAAATTTAAAAGGAGAGACTCTTAGCCTGGGAAAGATACTATATGGGACATAAAGAAAAAGGGAGACCTTGTCCTCACGGCACCATAGTTGGATAGGGAGCGAAGACAGCTTCAGGGTAGAGGAAGGTTCTATGACTGCTCAAGGGAGGTCCTGCCACTGGATAGGCTGGTCACATGATGGTTTCAGAGGTGAGCCATGGCTTGAGGGGGCAGGGTGGGGGTGGGATTTCATTTGGGGTGGAGACCTGACAAAGAAAAGGGAGGGTTGTGGGATTTGGGAGAAAGGGCATGGTGGGGGGTGGCACTCAGCAGGAGTCTGGGGATACACTGGAGGTAGAGTTCAGAGCCACAGGGTATGTTGAGCCTGATTGATTAAACAGGAAATTGGGAGCTATTAGCATGTTTGAACAAGTGAGTGGCTCATCACATGTTCGGCTTTCAGATTAATCCAGCAGTAGCCTGTGTGGGAAGATTAGAGACAGAAAAGCAACCTGAAAATAATAGGGAAAAGCCATGGATAGATTCATAGAACCCAGCTACTGATTAGGTAAGCAGCTCAGGGAGGAATTGTTTTTGTTATATATGTAATTTTTTTTTTGAGATAGGGTTTCTTTGTATAAACCCTGACTGTCCTAGAACTCCCTCTGTAGACCAGGCTGGCCTTGAACCCACAGAGACCTACCTGCCTCTGCCTCCTATTAAAGTATATGTCACCACTGCCTGGCAGAGAGAAACTGTCAAAGACACTTAAGAATGGGTTAGTGTGCCTGGCAGTGGTGGCACATGCCAGGACAACCAGGGCTCTGTTACACAGAGAAACCCTGTTTCCGGGGAGAGGGAAGATAAGTTAGTGATTTAAGATCTAATCATTTAATCTACCATGTTGTAGATCTTATTGTTAAGAATGAACTGTGGAGGGGTTGTTTTGTTTTTTTGTTATTGTTTTTGTTTGAGACAGGGCCTCCAGTAGCCTAGAATGCCCTCACTCTTGATTTCCTCCCTGGACCTTCTGAGTGACAGAATTATAGATGTATACCGACAAACCCAACAGAGCTACATTTTAAAATTAAATTAAGCTCTGGATCCAGTAGCTTCAGTTTATATTTCTGTACAAAGATAGTAGTAACACATTGATACTATGAAGGTAGCAATATAATTTTAATCTTATAGCTATAACTAAGTATCTCAATATCTAAACTTTTAATATACAACTATATCATGAAGTATTTAGACACTGTTATAGACTCTGAAGATATAGTAAGGGAATAAAACAGGAGGAAAAAAAAGACTCCCTTTTGCCTGAGTTCACAGTAGCAACACAGACAGGAAAGAAATTCATAGTGAAAAGAGCTGTGGAGAAAAGCAGAGCAGGAAAACAACTCAGCGCTGTGCTAGGGTTGAAGGCTCAGTTTTCCACAGGCTCCACGGAGTGCATGCCATTTGAGCAAGACCTCAGGGAGACGGGAGCTTCACCCGTAGTGAGAAGATCTGATGGAGTGTTTCTGAGTTGGAGATGATCTCCCACAGGCTCATGTCCGCAGCTGCTTGGTGCTCTTTTGGGAGGCTGTGAAAACGTTGAAGAGTGAGGCCTGGCTGCTGAAGTAAGCCACTGGGGACCAGCCCTGCCTGAGGGTTGTAGCTGGGTCTCACTTTCTCACTGGTCAACATGATGTTACCAGCAGCCTCCCATTTCCACTCTCATGGACTAAGCTTCCCCTTCTGTCATGGCCTTCCTACTATGGTGAACTGTATTCTCTTAACTATGAGCTAAGAGGCTGGAGAGATGGTTCAGTGGTTAAGAACACTGACTACTCTTCCAGAGGATCTGGGGTTGATCTCCAGCACCCACATGGCATCTCACAGCTATCTGTAATTCTATTTCCAAGTTACCCAGGATCCTCTTCTGGCTTTCACAAGCACCAGGCATACACATGGCATATAAAATAAAGTGAAACAAAACAAACCCTGTGAGCCAAAATGTTTTTCCCCATTAAGTTACTTCTGTCTGGTATTTTGTCATAGCAATGAAATACAGGGTAGGGGCAGAGAGTTCCTACTGGAGAGCATTGGGATGGATGGGTATGGGAGGAGTGGAGCAGGTGGAGCTAAACTGAACTGGGAGAGGGATAGGGCCAAGTAGGATATAAGTGACCCTGTTCTGCCTTTATATGACTTATTAAAAAGGTATGCTTTTGCTTTCCTGAAACAAAATTTATAGTGACTTACATATATAGTTTTATAAAGAAATCTGTTGCTCAACTGTAATTTTTAAAAAGTGAGATAGGATCTTGCTATGTAACCCAGGCTGGTCTGTAGAGCTCAAGTTGCCCTCAAATGTGTGATTCTTCTCACTTAGACTTAGTACTGACATTCTAGATACATAGTACTTTACCTTGCTCGGGAAACAATTTTTAATCATATATGCAGAATTCACGCTGGGCCTTGCATTTATGAGGGACACTTCACCAGAGAGGAAATACTGGGTCTGTTGATGGAGATGAGGATATCAACAGAGCCATGGAGACACTTTCCAAGATGGTAGAAACTTCATGGTAGTGTTCAAGTAAAAGAAGCAGTCTTGACTCATACAGTAGGTATAGTCTGAGAAAATTCAGTATATTATATCATACAAAATATGTTTTTGTGCCTATGTTAAAGCATATTGTGGCCTTGAATAGCTACTAAAGGTTTTTGTCCCATGTGAGTGACTGGCAAATCAGAGCAGTATGTCTGTCTAGTTGTTCAGGACTACTCAATGGCTGGGTGTAGTGGTATATGTTTTAAATCCCAGAACTTGGGAGGCAGAGGCAGAGGCAGGTGGATCTCTATGAGGCCATCCTGGTCTACAGGTCTACAGAGTGAGTTTCAAGATAGCCAGAGCTACATAGAGAGACCCTACCTCAAAAAAAAAAAAAAAAAAAAAAAGAATACTGCCTAGCATCTTTGGCCTCAATCTCTGTGACCATCAGAAAATATGCTCACAGATTTCTGTGTATCTCCTCCTCCAATAAAGAATGCAGTGTTGGGCCTGGTGGTCAGTGGAAGGATATTGAAAGAAATGGAAGAATCCAAGTATAGGAGTGGCATGCCTGGATATTAGACGGGATATGTTCCTGCCAACTCCACAGGTTGGATCCTATGGTAATTTGAACAGGTATGGCCCCATAGACTCATGCGTTTGAATGCTTTGTCCATAAGGAGTGGCACCTTTAGGAGGTGTGACCTTATTG